TATGACATGGGCAAAAGAAATAGTTACAGGAATAAAAAAGGTTTGATTGTGTTAAATTAGATTTTTTAACAACATATCAATAACTTTAGGATCACAGAAATATTTGAAAGTGAAATTTCTATCTACTTCTGAAAAAAAAAAGGTGTGTCATGAAAAGTAAAATCAACAATTTATAAATTTCTAAAACATGATTCACCTCCGAACGAGACGACCTCTGGCTGCTTCTGGAAGTTTTACTTCCAGTACGACTAAGGTTATTGTACGGTCCCAAGGAGTCGACATCGGTATTCTTCAACCACTCGTCAACATTTACTGTTAGAGATAATTTAACAAAAATACCGTTTAATAAACTTGCAATATAGTTTATACACTAGTGAACAAACTGTAACGTAATGAACAAGATACTTTAAAAAATATCTATATATGAAATAATGCACCAACTTGGAAAGATGTTACAAAATATCATGGTTGTACTATAGTGCTACAAGAATCATGTTTGTAACTACAAAGTATCATAAAATATCATGGTTGTACGTATAGTGCTACAAGAATCATGTTTGTAACTACAAAGTATCATAAAATATCATGGTTGTACGTATAGTGCTACAAGAACCATGTTTGTAACTACAAAGTATCATAAAATATCATGGTTGTACGTATAGTGCTACAAGAACCATGTTTGTAACTACAAAGTATCATAAAATATCATGTTTGTTACTACAGTGTGTGTGTGTGTCATAAAACATCACGTTTGTAACTACAGATTATTATAAAACATCACGTTTGTAACTACAGATTATTATAAAACATCACGTTTGTAACTACAGATTATTATAAAACATCACGTTTGTAACTACAGATTATTATAAAACATCACGTTTGTAACTACTGGTTATTATAAAACACGTCATGTTTGCAACTACCGATTATCATAAAATATGTTGTAATTACAGTTCCATAACACATTACGTTTGTAACAACACTTTATTGCAAACTTCACGACTCTACTAGTGTTCAGTAAAGCAACTTTTAAATGAATCACAAATTATGAAAGTTTTAATGTTAGCTTTTAGATTCTTACAAAAATAGCACTATTCTCCTGTCGTCTATTGGAATACATAATAAATTGTCAGTCCACGTTTAGCAACTTTACTGAGCTATTCGGGTTATTGTGGAAGACCCAGACTCCAAACGATCTCGTGCCATAAGAGTACCCAAAATCTCAGCAATAAGCAATCAAATACTGCCCATAAGGACGATGATTCAAATATTATCTATGACAAAAAAAAAGGTCCCGGATGGCCAGGTGGTTAGGGCACTCGGTTCGCAATCTGAGGGTCGCGTGTTCGAATCCCCGTCCCACGAAACATGTTCGCCCTTTCAGCCGTAGGAGCGTTGTAATGTGACGATCAATCCCACTATCGATGGTAAAAGAGTAGCCCAAGAGTTGGCGGTGGGTGGTGATGACTAGCTGCCTTCCCTCTAGTCTTACACTAGCGCAGATAGCCCTCGTGTAGCTTTGCGCGAAACTCAAAACAAACAAACAATGACTAAAAAGTCGTGCTTAGTGGTTAAAGTTTAATTATTTTCAGTATTTGAAATGTCCCTACAATTATAAATACTTAAAGTAACAAAAACATAGAGTGCCTGAACACAGTATGTTGCTTATGTTTGGAGCAGTAATCTTCATATAATCTACCGTTTAAACCCAAACCACGTGTGAGAAAACCGACAACCTAATGCAGCGTGACACTGTATATTTAACTTTTATATAAATGTATTTTCATTATGTTACTTTTTATTGCATTATCTCTAGCGTAGCTGTGCAGTTTACATTATCTTTAATACAGTTTTAAGCTGAAGTAAAAACCAAAGAAGAAGACAAAGAAGATGAAATGGTTTAATCCAATTTCAATTGAGAGATGTTAATCTCTCTCAAATTAATAAACAACTTCCGCCATGAGGAAAAACGCTTACATAAATCAGAGGATCGGTCCAACCTACAAGGCAGATAACCGTGAATCCCAATAAATCATGACTTTAAGTACAGACTCCAAGCGGCCCTTCTAGGGTTTCCGGAGACATGAATTATCGAATATTCTTTAGACATCAGCTTACCACAAATTTTCCCTACAACGTTGGTATCAGTGGGGTGAATCTTTAAGCTCATAGTGAGTCACATTGGCTTGATTTTTAGAAGCCTAGAATGATCAGGCATATTTTTCTATAAAAAAAAAAGACGTAACATTATTTTCAATAGTTGTAGAATTATAGTTCTACGAATACGGAATTTTATATGTCTTGTTGTCAATTAAATCAAGGAGGGTATTCATGAACTTTCGTAGTTTTTATATATATTCCATCCCACGTTTCAACATTCACCTTAAGTTTTATATACACACCTACCTTCTTCTCTTGTACATGAGGCTTTCCAGCTGTATAAAGTATTCTGTTTCTTTTTGAAGTTCCCACTGAAGTAAGAACACGTAGCATAAACCATATTAGGCCACCTTATTTTGCGTATACGTGTTTTTGTTGTTGTTGTTGTCTCTCAACATCCTATTAGTCAGTCTAACAAAGAAATCATTCTAAAAGTGTCTAAAAACTGCATTTTAAGTGTATCTTTCATTCGTAACAATTCAGTAGCTATGAGGCCTTTTGTGACATACCAAAACTCACGTAAGCTGGATCTGTGGCAGGGTATCTGAATTGCTATTATGTATACGGTAGTAAAAACAATGTTAGACAGTGTTGAACCGTTACATTTAATGACATGACTGATGGACTGGCTGGCCATCCGGACTATACATCTATCTCTTCCGTCCATCTGTCATCTATCTATCTATCTGTTCACTCCATCTACCTGACACCTGTCCAACTATCTATCTACATGGGTGTTGAAAAATGAACGTGCACCTCGCATGTATACAGATGTTACATAAAGAAATTATAACCTAATTACAGGTACGACCACACTGTATATGGTCGAGTAGAATGGATTACAGAGGAGAGGTGATTCATTAATAAGGGGCTCTGGGCTCCTTCGGTTAAAGGTGATAATTTGAGGATGAGAGGTGCGAAAATCTACCACCATCTTAGAGAGGAAACGATTGATGGTTATACAAACAGAACACGTGAGATGTATCCAGTTAAACTGACCGACAGTTAGCACGTAGCATGCCTTCCAACGTGCCATTTATAAAAGAAAACGCCCCCTATAACGAGCCGTATAGTACGGTAAGTTAATCTATAAGACGATAACGCCCAACCTCTGAAGTAAAGCTAGATCTATCTTCACCCTTAGTGTCAATATTTAAACTTTGGTACGTGATTAAAATAAACCTTACAAATTACAGATCTACGATCATTAATGAAAATTATAATGGAAAACTCGTATATTTCGTGTAACAATCATGGTGTAACTAAAAGGGAACGATCTGCCTTTTATAAATAAACTTAACTGGTGTACAAATGGGGAATACTGGGTGTGACTCATGTTTAGTGTGCCCGGACTGCGAATCTCAGAAGTCATGGTTCACATCCTATTGCCGCAAAAAATGCACGCCGTACTTTAGGGTCCTGGATGTATTATAACAGTAACAGCGAAATCCCATCTTTGTATAAGAAGCCCCCCAGTAGCACAGCGGTATGTCTGCGGACTTACAATGCTAGAAACCGGGTTTCGATACCCATGGTGGGCAAAGCTCAGATAGCCCAATGTGTAAGCTTTGTGTTTAACTTCAAACAAACAAATTGTATAAGAAAAAAAGTGGCCCAAGATTTAGCGGTGGATGCTGATGACTAGTTTCCTTCCTTCTATTCTACCTATTCGAAATAAGGGACAGCTATGCACAGATAACCCTTTGTGTTATCTTGCACAAAAATGCGAAAACAAAGAAGCGGAGAAATAAAAAAAACTATATGCAGAGTAAAAAACACAGAAGTAAAGAACAGCAGTAATCAGTTACTAAAGAACAGTAGTAATCAGTTACTAAAGAACAGCAGTAATCAGTTACTAAAGAACAGTAGTGATAGTCGCGGCTGAAATTAGATCTCAAATCGGTAAAGAGATGGAGCTATGAGCTAAACGTTTGTAACTGGAAAAACAAACAAATTCAGAGCCATTCTATAAGCCACTATACCGCAACAAAAATCACACGAGATGACTTTTTATGTTCCATTCCAATCTGTTGAAATGAACAGACTTTTATTTTACACATTAAAAATTAAAAGAAAACTCTGCTAAACAATTATATCATGTATATTTCTCAAAATGTCGATTACATCTATGTTCCTTTTACATTTTATGCAAAGTGACTTATTTCTATTTATGACAAGGCTGCTAAGGCTATCTGACGCCGACCCTAAGTTTGTTCTGACCAGAGGGAGGGCAGTCAGTCAGTAGCACCTTACCACTACTCGCAATAAGGGACTGTCACTCTTATAACGCGCACACAGGATACAATGCGGGAAATATTTTGTGGTATCACATGGATTCCATCTTGCCTCACCAGCTCCTAAATCCAGAGTTCTAGCCAACGCGCCACCACAATGTTTCAGAATCCGATTTTGGGATTTCCCACACGCAGGTTGAAATGGTTTGTTGCTGTCTTGATACATATATAAGTCTGAACGACATGCTGAACCGTATAATGTATACTGGGTCAAAAAGTAACATTGTAATGGCCACAGTAACAAGCATCATAATCATTATATAACATGTCAGTGCGAAACTGCAATTAAATCTCTGACCCAAACAACTTTTAGATATAAAAAATGGTTTAACTTGACATCATTATATAACATGTCAGCGCGAAACTGCAATTAAATCTCTGGCCCAAACAACTTTTAGACATAAAAATATTTTAACTTGACATCATCATTATATAACATGTCAGTGCGAAACTGCAATTAAATCTCTGGCCCAAACAACTTCTAGATATAAAACAATGTTTTAACTTGACACAAGGTATTTCAATTTCACGGAAAGCAAATTTCACCTCATAGTTAAACAAAGCAGTGCATCGGATGTTCATCTTTGAATACGACTCCGCTCTTTGAGCATTGGTTTCGAACGTTATTCCTGTATCTTCTTCTTCCTGGGTATCCTCTTCTGGAACTTCTTCCCAAGCGTTGATGCCAACTTTCACTGCGCCCTCCTGCTCAATGGCGTTTGATATCTGTTGACACTCCGCCAAACTATCTGATGTACTGTCATTAAAGTCACTATCGTATACAGAGTCGTTTGCTTCACTGCCGGCTTCGTCGTAAGCCTGGAAGGAAGGCCAAAATGATTATGGTTTATACAGTAAAGAAAGTTATTACTTGTTTTACTTATTTAATTTACTTGACACGGTTGCCACACACCTGGAACAGTTTCAGACGATTATAACTAACGATATACATAATAATAATAATACAAATTATTACACCCAACCTTAACTAACGCTATAAATAATAATAATAATACAAGTTATTACATTATAGAATGAAGCTAAAACATCAAACTAAAAAGTCCACAAATAGTTACGTTCTGTGCCTATCGGGTAAGTTTTGGTACCGCAGATATCGAAACTCGAATTTTAAAGTTATAAGCTCTCAAACTAGAGGGAAGGCAGCTAGTCATCCCCACCGACCGCCAACTCTTGGGCTACTCTTTTTACCAACGAATAGTGGGATTGACCGTCACTTTATAACGCCCCCACGACTGATAGAGCGAGCATGTTTGGTAGGACGGGGATTCGGTGCCCGCGACCCGCAGATTGCGAGTCGAGTGCCTTAACCACCTGGCCATTCCAGGCCTCTGAGCTACCAAGGGGATAACAGATAGTATAGTAATGATTTAACATGCCACTGAATATTTCAAAACTTCATTTCTAACTACGTAATTAATATGTTATGTGGGTAAGGTCGGGGTCTAATACAATTAATTTACTTCTTATTTCAGTTCCCGAGCGAAAATACCTATACTATTATAGATAATGAAAATATAACACACGTGAAATGAGCATAAATTAGCAAGTTGACATTAAATTGTACAATACACAATGTGAAGAAGTCATGGCAAATAAACAAGTTTTCATTAACAAGTGTTAATAGTCATGATTAATTACGTTACCCTGAATACGAACGGTTTCTGTGCAGTCTGAGATTTAAAACAAGAGGAGTCCTCAGGCCCAGAGCACAGATCATCCATTTTGGAGCTTTGTGCATAACTTCAAACGAACAAGCAAATCCTTTCGTAGCTCAGCGGTAAGTCTGAGAGCTTATAACGTTAAAATTCGGGTTTCGATACCCGCGGTGGGCAGATCACAGATAGCCCAGTGTTTAGCTTTGTGCTTAACACCAGACACACAGAATTCTTTATTAGCCTCTGCATTGATACTCAGCTTATTTTCGGAGGAATGTGCTCTGTCTACCACGGGTATCGAAACCTGGTTTCTAGCGTTCTAATTCCCATATGTTGCGAGACTGACTTTGCATGAATTCACTAAGGTAATGATACTGCACTATTGAACAGAATATCCTGGGCATACAAAAGAAACTGACACGTATACGTGAACAAAAGTACAACAGTAAAGTTTGTAATACAACAAACCTAAACCAGGAGTTTCTAGCCTAGCTACGTACAAAATACGTATTTCAATGTATTTCGTTAACGTGACTGTATAGAGACAGCTGTAAGAATACCAGGTAATAACAATAAAGTTAAAATAATAATAAAAACGTAATATAAACGTTTACAATCAATTGAGACAAATGGAGTAGAGTTTTCCATATAGCCTGGACAAAGCTACACTTTAAAATAACCTTTAAACGTAAATATACAATAAAAACCACATCAATCGCTTCTACTAAGTAAGTACCTTCAATGGTTTCCACCAATTACACTTAGTTCTTCTCATTACGGTGTGTCACTCCGAAAATGCCCCCCAGTGGCACAGCGGTATGTCTTTTAGGTGAGACATATTCCATGTACATATACACAGCCTACCAATAAGTAGGTAAACACGAAGTCCAGAAATCATAACATTTTATTAAATAAACAAACATGAAACAACGGGTACATGGTTACTAGTAGTATTTCGTGGATTTGCTCTTCGCAAGATGTAAGTTAGAAACACGTTTATACATCGGAGTTACAAGACCTGAAGTCTGGGCCTGTGGGATTGAATCCCACCCGTGGCCAAGAACGTGGATGAGGATATCTCGAGAAGTTGATTGTTTCGCGCTCTTTCAAAGGTAACAATCTAGGACGGATCACACTAGGTCGATAGGGTTCTGTTGTCCTGGCAATGCTCATCTAGTAACTCGGGCTGAAGGAGGAGGAGGAGCCCTCTCTCAAAACCAAGACGATAGCATCACACTTATAACTAAAATCGTTATTTAACACAATACAATCATACTCCCACAGATCATACAATTGTTCGTAATTCAACAAACACCACAGAACACAACTACACAGCTAACATAACTACATAATCAGAAAACATAAACGGACATGGCCCTGAGATGGAAAATAGCAACAGTAACTAAAAGACATCGAAATCAGCTTACCAAAAACCACAAAATAGTTTTCAACAAGCAACAACAGTTCAGGAGGGAGGAGTACCTGACCCTCCCAGGTCTACAAAACCTAAATCCCGATGACGAACCGAAGCGAGTGTTTTACAAACAAACAAAACGGGAAGTTTGTAGACAAAAGGAAGGAAGAAAAAAAAACAACTGAAGTTTTTTCTGTTTACATAGTTTGCTCATTATACATAAAAACATGTATACTTATTACCCTTCTCAAGAATTAAAAATGGCAAATGTTTTGCTTTATCCTCAACATTATGCACCTCTAGACCATGGCTATAAAATTTTATTCACCAGATTTATAAATTTTTCATTCTAGAGCCACGTGAAGTTGGCCAGGAAATTTCAAACTTTTCAGTACCTCAATCTTTGTCTAATGATAAAACAAAATTGGTGTAAGTATTATTTTTCTTAGTGGCATGAATGTGAAGAGGAAAGTTCGGTGTATATGTTTTCTCCATAGTTTGATTGTTAAAAATATAAAATGTGCTTATACATTACTTTAAATAACTTCTATTTCGCCATTATTCGCCACTAAGGGATTTGTTTGTAATTAAGCATAAAGCTACACAATGGGTTATCTGTGCTCTGCCCACCACGGGTATCGAAACCCAGTTTCTATTGTTGTAAGTCCGCAGACATACCGCTGTGCTACGGGGGGGGGGCGCCACTAAGGGATGCAACTTCAAAACGTAAGCATGCCAAGAGTTACTAGCATAAGCTGGACTGAGCACTTACAACGTGAGCACCAAGCGACCATAGCAAGTGGATCCTTATTTTATTTCTCTCAAATTCTACGATATATTTTATTAATCCTAGAGCTAGTGACATGTAGCAATTAATTCAATGTGTGTATACTTAGCTGAGGCAATTACCTACTTCTTCATAGTCGCAAATAAATATTTATTCGTGACAGCATGCCACACACACCAGCAATGAATGATAAAGAACACTGATTAATAAAAAAAATACCCTTCTCCCCTTCATCCGAACATATTTGTTCCCAGAGCACATTTCACATAGCTCAGCTCAAAACGTGGGTGCCAGCTGGTGTCACTGCTGCTTTCGGTTCTTTCTTACACATTGTTATCCTTAAAGTTAACATAGTTTCCAATCCCGTGTAATCTACATGACGATGCGTGTAATATCAACAACATCCTAATCTGCATATTACATTCCTGAATGAGTTGTTTTTCTTTAATTAAACGTCTGGTTAAATAATAATGGTAATATATCAGCAGGTAATATATCACAAACACGGCAAAATAATGTAACTGTCATTACTACCATTGCATCATTTTATTAATGTGCTGTGAAACAGAATTTACATTCAATTTTGCACCTAATTCACGTAAGAATCATCAATGAATCAAACTGAATTCAGTTGTACAGCACAGTAACAAAATAACACATTGTGAGTAATATCAAGTTGCTTTATTTTGCTGTGCTTATGAGATATTACTTACTGTTTGAGTTAAAGCATAATTTTGGCTTCTTTTTTTTTTTTCTCGCTCAAGCGTCTTTGGACGGATGTTCCTTTGTTGTTGAATTTCACACAAACTTACTTCAAGGTTACCAGCGCTAGCCGTCCCTAATTTTGAAGTGACAGACTAGAGAAGAAGCAGCTAGTCAACAACACTCACCGCAAACTCATGGGTTACTCTAATCGAATAGTGTGGTTTGACAGTCACTCTAATAACGCACCTACACCTCAAAGTGCGGAGCGCGATTTTTGTATTTTGCAGTACGGAGTGGATCCACAGTTCGGCACGCTAATCACAGTACAGCGCTCGAGCCTGGACGGATGTTTAAAAAAGACCCCACTGTACACATAGAACGGATACACATAATTGATAAAATTGCTCATACGAAGTGTTGGTGTTAAATTCGTTACTGACACATATAACCTACAATATGTGTATTCAACCAAGCGTGGGGCATTTTTTCACACTCCAATATAAAACTGGTTTTACTTACAGCAATAGAATAGCTGTTTTTTATACAAAGACCTTCACAGATATCTGTGAAAATTCTACTTTTAAACTGCAGAATGATTCATTCGGGAAACAGTAATTTTTATTTTACTGATTTTTTTTTCACACTTCCAAACTACTCAGAAATGATAAGAGCGAAATTGAGAGAGGAAAGAGTGTAGTGTATTAACGTTTGACCTACTTTTGAAATTTTGAAAATTTATCCATGCCAAAACATAAAAGCGCTTCGTGAAATAATTGCCATATGATAACCTTTATTATTGTCCAGTGATTTTTAGTTAGATATTTCACGGTTTATCCACATAAAAACAAACCTTTTAGCTCCAGTTGTTCAAAACAAACAAATAAAAAAACGAGTCCTTTTATTCACAGGTATACGAAGATGAGATTAAATAATCAATATACATAATGAGGTCGCTAAGTAGACCAAATCAGGGATTTTGACAATCACCTCAAACTCAAAGTCAACGTTTTCATACTTTGAACACTTACGGGAATATATTTACCAAAAGCATTTAAATTAGCCTTGATGTCAGACTAATAGAACAATCTGACCGTGAAGTCACATTCTCAGAAGGCTTTTACTCGACTGTTTTTGCTTTGTTGTTAATGTATTATTCTGTATAACGTTGAAAATTAAATTGCCAAATATATTTTTGTTCTTGTTAAGCAAAAAATTACACAATGGGCTATCTATGCTC